TATGTACATTTCAGGAGCTAATATGTCTATTTTAGGTCCTAATATGTATATTTTAGGTGCTAATATGTACATTTTAGGTGTTAATATGTACATTTTAGTGTTAATATGTACATTTTAGGTGCTAATAAGTACATTTTAGGTGCTAATATGTGCATTTTAGGTGCTAATATGTACATTTTAGGTGCTAATATGTGCATTTAGGTGCTAATATGTACATTTTAGGTGCTAATAAGTACATTTTAGGTGCTAATATGTGCATTTTAGGTGCTAATATGTACATTTTAGGTGCTAATATGTGCATTTAGGTGCTAATATGTACATTTTAGGTGTTAATATGTACATTTTAGGTGCTAATAAGTACATTTTAGGTGTTAATATTTGCATTTTGGGTGCTAATATGTAAATTTTTAGTGTTAATATGTACATTTCAGGAGGTAATATGTCCATTTTAGGTGCTAATATGTACATTTTTAGTGTCAATGTGTACATTTCAGGAGCTAATATGTCTATTTTAGGTCCTAATATGTATATTTTAGGTGCTAATATGTACATTTTAGGTGTTAATATGTACATTTTTAGTGTTAATATGTACACTTTAGGTGCTAATAAGTACATTTTAGGTGTTAATATGTGCATTTTAGGTGCTAATATGTACATTTTAGGTGCTAATATGTGCATTTAGGTGCTAATATGTGCATTTTAGGTGTTAATATGTACATTTTAGGTGTTAATATGTACATTTTAGGTGCTAATATGTACCACTAAGGTACCAATATGCAGCCTTTGGGTACAAAAGTTTACCTTTTGAAAAGGTACAGCCCCAGTGACAGCTTTTGTACCTTTTTTTCTGAGAGTGTAGGGGTTAAATGTTTTGCTCAGGGACACATCGGTGTCTCTCTCACCAAAGGCATGTGTCTTATCCACTGCGCCATCACCATCCCATACTTGAGTAAAAGTGCAGATACCCCTTGCTAAATTTTACTCAAGTACAAGTAAAACTAGTCAGATGTCTACTTAAGTAAAAGTACTGAAGTACTAGTTTTTAAAAGTACTTGAGTATCAAGAGTACATTTTCTAAAAATTGCATTACTACTGCCACAGTGCTTACATTTATGGACAGAAACGTCCTACATGGAGTTATGAAAAAAAATGTTAATGATAATATCTTGGAGAATGTAAAAGGAATTGAAAATAAAATTAAGTCATTTTCATCTTTTTACCATGTTGCTTTGTTAAACATAAGAAATTTCTGAAAATTCAGAAAATTGAAACAGTCTGGCGAGGTGGGGCGAATGGTTGGCACATTCACTGGATGGACCTGCTGCGTCTTCATCCATGGTTTTGTCTCTTATCTAAATCTGACCATGGAGTTGACTTTGGCGGAAAGCTAAAGGTGATTGCTGATAGGCTGTCCCAATCAGTGGCGCCTGCACAATCCAATCACGTTTGAGAGGGAAACAACAAATTGAGGTTTTCCGAGATTTTTCTTGTTTCCATTTTTTATAGTCATTTCTATAATATATAATGTAGTGGAGTAAAGAGTACAATATTCAATATTCTCTCAAACATACTTGAGTAAAGTCATGAGTGCTCCCTAAAAATGATACTCGAGTACAGATCCCTCAAAATGGTACTTGAGTAAATGCACTATGTTACTGTCCGGCTCTGATTATGACGTACACACGACGAGGACTGCAAACACAGGGAGACTATAGGGAGCAAACAAAGCAGGGAATGAGGGAGAAGCTGGCTTAGACTACACTGTTAGACCTTACCAGGTTTTTTACAGTAAAATACTGGCAACACTGTTGCCAGTAATTTACTGTAAAAATGCACTAAAACTAATAAGTTGCATTTTTTTTACTTAACTTGAGTTTTAGTGCACTTTTACAGTAAATTACTGGCAACAGTGTTGTAAAAATGCACTAAAACTAATAAGTTGTATTTTTTAGTTAACTTGAGTTTTAGTGCATTTTTACAGTAAATTACTGGCAACAGTGTTGCCAGTATTTTACTGTAAAAAACCTGGTAAGGTCTAACAGTGTACAACTAATGAAAACCCCAAATTCAAAATTAGAATATTGTGTAAAGGTGTTCAGCTCTAAGCCATGATCATAAAAAATTATAACAAATAAATGCTTGAAATATCTCACTTTGCATACTATGAGTCTATATATTAGATTCACCTTTTTTCAATTACTGAAATAAATTAACTTTTGCACGATATTCTAATTTTTTTCTAGTTTCACCTGTAAATGCGTTCGCCCAATCAAACGAGTCAAACTACACATCCAGTTCAAGATGATAATACAAACATTTACATGTTTAAAAGTTTCAGACCTGCAACTTTTTTTTTTTGGCCTGCCCTATATAATAAAATGTGAAGCCCGTGTTATTCTGAACCGCTAGGTGAGGATAACATTAGACAGCCCTAAAAACTGACAACATAGACAGTCTATTTTAAAGGACATGGAGCTAAGCAACATCAACAACAGACATTTCTGAGGTTTGACAGCCAGACATTTGAGAGTCAACTAGATCAGATGATGATCAACAGGAACATGAACACGGATCTGTGTACCATCACTGGTGAGACGGTTCAACTGGACTCTTTTATGACGCTGTCAGAGTGAAAGATATTGGATGAGGGAGTTCACATTCACAAAAGTGTACAGGGCTACAAGCTTTCTCAAAATGCAGATGAAATAAACCCTGTAAGACACACCAGTGGATTGTTCCTTGCATTATATAGGCTATATATAAACTATATATATTGTGGCATTGTGAAAGGTAGGGTATCATCAAAGTGTGAGTTGGTTCACAAATCGAGTCCAGGCAGAGATCAAGTCACTGGTCTCTTTTAATAGATCAACTCAAAACTCCAAAGCATTCTTTTCCATAACCAAAAACTCATACAGCTTCACTTTATGCTTCTCAAACAAAACAGACAGTCTCTCTCTGTTCTCAGCTCATTAACAGCTTTTCTCCTTCACTCACAACAGCTGTGTCCCCACTGCTGACGAACCTGGTAACTGTAGTCCAGGACGAGGTGGCCATCTTGGTTTGTAGTTCCCATTTGCTGTAACCACCTAGATGGTACATACCCTCTCACAATGCCACTATATATATATATATATATATATAAGAAAAAGAAGTGTCCTCTCACTTTCAACTCTAATTTGAAATTAAACAATTACCTTTAATTTTTTTTATTCCATGGCGAAAAAAGCTGCCATACAAAACAACATTAAACTCAAGTGGTAATGTAAATTGCCAGTCAATATTGTCCATTAGATCAAAAGATCTGAAACTCTTACCTGCCCATAGACCCTTCTAATATTTAGAATCTTTATATTTTCCATTTTCAATATAACTTCAAAGTTTTAGTAATTTTATTGTGCATTTCTTTTTGTTTTATTTTAAATGTCTGTAATTTTGATTTAAAATATTATTTAAGTTAAGTTAACATTATACACTCACCTAAAGGATTATTAGAAACACCTGTTCTCACACCCTGTGCAATTACCTAATTAACCAATCACATGGCAGTTGCTTCAATGCATTTAGGGGTGTGGTGGTCCTGGTCAAGACAATCTCCTGAACTCCAAACTGAATGTCAGAATGGGAAAGAAAGGTGATTTAAGACATTTTGAGCATGACATGGTTGTTGGTGCCAGATGGGTCTGAATATTTCACAATCTGCTCAGTTACTGGGATTTTCATGCACAATCATTTCTAGGGTTTACAAAGAATGGTGTGAAAAGGGAAAAGCATCCAGTATGATCATAAAGTATCCTTGTTGATGCTAGAGGTCAGAGGAGAATGGGCTGACTGATTCAAGCTGAGAAGAGCAACTTTGACTGAAATAACCACTCGTTACAACCGAGGTATGCAGCAAAGCATTTGTGAAGCAACAACACACAACCTTGAGGCGGATGGGCTACAACAGCAGAAGACACCACCGGGTACCACTCATCTCCACTACAAATAGGAAAAAGAGGCTACAATTTGCAAGAGCTCACCAAAATTGGACACTTGAAGACTGGAAAAATGTTGCCTGGTCTGATGAGTCTCCATTTCTTTTGAGACATTCAGATGGTAGAGTCAGAATTTGGCGTAAATAGAATGAGAACATGGATCCATCATCCCTTGTTACCACTGTGCAGGTTGGTGGTGGTGGTGTAATGTTGTGGGGGATGTTGCACTTGGTACACTTTAGGCCCCTTAGTGCCAATTGGACATCGTTTAAATGCCACGGCCTACCAGAGCATTGTTTCTGACCATGTCCATCCCTTTATGGCCACCATGTACCCATCCTCTGATGGCTACTTCCAGCAGGTTAATGCACCATGTCACAAAGCTCGAATCATTTCAAACTGGTTTCTTGAACATGACAATGAGTTCACTGGACTAAAATGGCCCCCACAGTCACCAGATCTAGAGCATCTTTGGGATGTGGTGGAACGGAAGTATCGTGCCCTGGATGTGCATCCCACAAATCTCCATCAACTGCAAGATGTTATCCTATCAATATGGGCCAACATTTCTAAAGAATGCTTTCAGCACCTTGTTGAATCAATGCCACATAGAATTAAGTTCTGAAAATTCTGTATGGTCTTCCTAATAATCCTTTAGGTGAGTGTGTGTATATAACATGAGTATATATATATATATATATACACACACACACACACTTTATTTCAAGTAACGAAAAATAGCTTTTTTGAGGTTTAAGTTAACTATCTACTGCCTTTCAAATCACAACTCAGGATGGTCACTAATGGAGGCGCACATACTCAAATAAAAAAATTATTCAGATACCAGATATATATATATAAAAAAAATCTAGTGGATGAAGGACACAATAGTTAATTTATGTAAGTGAGGAAAGCAAGGTGTGTGAATACATTTAGGTTTGACTGCATACAGTATTTTTTTAATTTTGATCAGCCTTAATAAATAAACATCCTTGACTTCAATAAATCAATCAAAACAAAGAGAAAGGTTAAGATAGTGTTTTATTAATTCGTTTATTTAGTCTTGATTTATTCGGAAGGTCGAGTCGATCTCATGCTGTGTCTCCATAAGAAGACAGGTGTTTGTTGGCTTCAGGCAGGATAAACAGTACAAATCAGATTCAAGTTACATGTACTGAACAGAAGAAATACATGACGATGCAGACAGAAGAGAGAAAGAGTCAGAATGAGTAGATACACGAAGAAATGAAATCCCGGTAACACTTTACAACAAGGCGTCATATGTGTCAACATTAGTTAATGCATTATCTAACATGAGCTGGCAATGAGCAAACGGTTGTCACACTTTATTTTACAGCATCCTTGTGGCGCGTTACATTACATACCATAGCATTAACAGTAAACTATGCATAAATTCGAGCAACTAACCCTAAAGTAAGAAAACGTTTATCAATATTACACTGTAACAAGGACATTTAAAGTGTAACCAAATGATTTATAGCATTTATTTACCTTTGTTGACGTTAGTAAAAAAAACTACTACTACTGTTTGATTGTTTACGTTGGTTCAGAGTTCATTATCACCCAAAAATAAAAATGCTGTTATAATTACCCTCATGTTGTTCCTAACCCTGTGTGAATTTCTTTCTTTTGCTGAACACAAAAGATATTTTGAAGAACATGGGTAACCAAACAGTTTATGGACCCTATTATTTATTGAGGAAATCATGACAGAATTAAAAATTTTGGTTTAACTATCCCACTATTACCTATTGTTAACAAAAATGTAATATCGTTTATTGTTGGATTGTTAAATAATGTAGTTAACTCATGTTAAATGAAACCTCATTGTAAAGTCTTACCAAAATCCCCAACTAGTATATTGAAGAAAAACACAAATGCATCTTGCTAGTTTTGCATCTGATCTTGAGAAAGATCTTTCTCTTTTTTTCCTGCCTTAAAACACAAAAAGCTCTGAGGCAAAGCACAAAAGCTTTGACAACAGCTTTATAGAAATATTTTTTGCAGCAGCAACATTTCGAATAACGGTGAGGCGAGAGTTGCGTTCATTTATAAAAAGCGTAGTTACTTACTGTAACAAACCACAGGACACCATACCACAGACAGAGAACTTTCTGACAAAATCAATCACTTTAGAAAAGGAGGGCAAAATGTTTTTGAGGCCAAATTTACGATACACAGCTTGAGGTTGTTTTTTTTTTTTCTTACTCTCAGCCGACCTCAAAAAAGCTTCTAAAAATAAACATCTCCAATAATTGCCATTGAACTCAACCCAATAATCGACAGAATAACACTAATAAAGATATAAGCCAAAGCAAATTTTAAAGTGTGATTCTCAATGAAGTTCACATCAGGTAGTAAAGCCAAATCCCATTCTGGCATCAAATAATCATATAAAGGTCTAAGTGAATAGTTTATTAAAAAACGCTTAAGATTTTTAAAAATAAAAAAAAATTAAATGAAACCCCTAAAACTTTCTAAAAAAAAAAAATGTGCACTACCGCTTTACAAGTTTGGGGTCGTTAAGATGTTCAAGATTTTTTGAAATAAGTCTCCTCTGCTCACCAAGGCTACATTTATTTGATCAAAAATATTATATATGATATAAAAGAACTGGTTTTAATTTAGATATTTAAAAATAATAATAATAATGTACTCCTGTGATGCAAAGCTGAATTTTCAGCATCATTACTCCAGTCTTCAGTGTCACGATCATTCTAATATGCAGATTCGCTCCTCCATTATTATTAATGTTTTCAGAAGGATTATATGACACTGAAGACTGGAGTAATGATGCTGAAAATTCAGCTTTGCATTGCAGGAATAAATTACACCTTAAAATATATGTAAATACAAAACGGTTATTTTAAATTGCAATAATATCTCTCAGTATTACGTTGTTTTTACTGTATATTTGATCCAATAAGCAGCAGCCTTGGTGAACATAAGAGAAAACATGAGAACTCTCAATGACTCCAGACTCGTGTAGATGGTCAGATAGATGAGAGCAAAGGTACGAAACAAGGAGAAAAGCGAGAGTGGAAAAAAGACAGACAGATAAAGTGATAAACAAGGATGGACAACAGCATTCAGCATCTGAACTCTTCTCTATGACACCATGTGGTTCCCTGAGGGCAGGGATGAATGAGAAAGAGAGAGCAACAGAGACAGAGAGAGAGAGAGAGAGAGGGGGGGTTTAGTATGTTGGCGGACACATCTCACTGCTTTTCTTCCTCAGCATCTGGCTGTGCTGGTTTAGTTTGTTCTTCACCTGAAAAAACAAAGAGTCTGTTATTACAGTGGCATTCGATTTAAAACCACACACTATGAGACAAACTTGACACCTCACACGTTATAAGCCTGCAACAAAGCTGAAGTCACGTGGCTGTCGTCGACACTCGGTTACAGGTTCGTAGCCGACTAGTGCTCGTTCACATTTATTTAAATTCACATTGGTTTGGCATGTTCCTCAAGCTATGTGCTTGTTTTTATAATTAATAATAAAAATAAATAAAGAGGAACAAATAATGTTTTCCTTGCACCTTTAACTCATTGTAGAAAAGCACAGAATGGCTATATAAAGTTTTTAAGTTTTCTAAGTTTAAAGGTATAAATGACAGAATTTTTGGGTGAACTAACCTTTAAGTGTCCTTTTCTAAAAATAAATAAGAACTTATTTTAATAAATTGTTCGTTTGTTTAATCCACTGTTTCTTTTTTCATGACGTAAACCATACTAGTTATTAAAAATGAAAAACTAGAATTTAAAGAAAATTACAGAAATAGACACTAAAAATATATTTAAGATCCTTTTTTTCTTAAAAAAAAAAACTAAACCCAATGCCGGATTAACTTGATTAAATAAAGTTTAAGGGAATCAACAGAATAAAACAATATGACAATAATGCTATATTTATGGAAAATAATTGCAGTTAATCAATACAAGCTTTTCTAGCCCAATAATAACTTTATTTAATTGTTTGTTTGTTGTTAACTCCATACCTGTTTCTTTTATGACGAGAACTATACTCAAATTAATCTCTTAAAACTCATTTTGACCAAATTTATTGCAAATTCTAGGCTACAACTTGATTAAAAACCTTTTCAAGGATACCAACACAATTTCCTCAGAGGAATGGTAATATTACAATCCAATCATTAATTTATAGTTGTTTTACGGAATCTATCTTTGTGACGATCACTCAGGCAGTTACAGACACTCATGACCATCTTTTCAAACACAAACCTGTTACTTTTAAATAGGTAAAGGCAATTTAAATTGGTAAATGTGATCTCTTATTTTTTAAAGTATTATCATCACACCAATTTCAGGTCCATAAACCTCAAATGTTTAAAGAAATTAAATTTACTGACAATACCAATTAAGAAAATGATATTTGCATTGCAAGTACCTCGGTCACTGACTGCACTGCGCAATTCAGATTTTTTCTCTATTATAATAGTATCTAATGGCGCTTTTCCACTACACAGTACCGACTCAACTCGACTCGACTCGACTCTGGTTTTCCACTTAGGGTTGTGCCGATAGGAGATAGTATCGTGTATCGACGATAGTCTGACATATCGCCGATGGCAGATGCCTTTGACGATATCAATACGATAATTGGCTCGTTTTACCATAATGTATTAAATTATTATTATTAGGCCTATTATTATAAAGTTTAAATTTACAACGACATCACCTCATAACAATTGAAACAACACACGCACTAATGAGGACTCCTCTAAGAGAATGTTTTTAAAACTGACTAAAAAACATCCCACATAAAAATTTAATTGCAAGGTGATCCATTCCCAAATTATCAAGTGTGCTCGTTTTAACAGACGCAAAATTCAATTTCCTACAGATCCAAGATGAAAACGGCATCGTTGTTCGTCAGTATTTGTTTCCGTAACACATTAACAAAACGTTTAATGACACTAACACTAAAAACAATATAATTACTAAATAGTATTAATAATAATATAACTAAAATAGTATTATAGTTACCGTTATCATCGTCGTCTCTGAGGGAACGCGGCGTTAATGCAGATGCCGAAAGCAGTCCGTTTTTACTTTCACTTTCAGAGATTGAGCGCGTTTACATGCGACGACGTTCTTAACCTGATTATGTTGAATAAACTTGACAATGCATGTGGTCATGTAAACGTTTCCTTTATCAGAGTCAAGTCATAAGTATAAGTATAAACCGATCGACTCAGCTAGACGTTTGGCCCTTGCTCTTGTTTCTCCCGGCATTTAAAACACATTAACCCGCGTACTTCGTGCTTACTGAAGTGCGCAGAGAGCGCACTGGTAGGGGCACATATCGCAAACTCCGACTTTTTCTGACCCAAGAAATTAAAACGTGTTTTCATCTCGTGCAGAAATAGGCCCTAGTCAAAATGCTGCATGTAACGGCATGAGGATAGGCTAATGAGTCCGTAAATTTCCCGTTGACAAACAAAAGGATTAGGATCTCTTTTTTTTACCTCACTATACCAGGAAATAACCTGATCCTATTAATAAACACTCCACCTTTGCTAGCAAAATAGAAAAAAGATTCTCGTATATAAAACGAAGTAGGCTAATAAAACAAGCAAATTAATGAGTAGGCTAAATAATCAAGTTAATAATCAAATGTTAGCCCCGCCCCCTCACGATACTATCGTGTATCGCCGATCTCGCAGGCTGACGATAGGACGATATGAAAATGGAGCATATCGCCCAACACTATTTCCACTGCGTAAAAGTTCTACCTGAACCTGCTTTCGGGTACTTTTTTAGTACCACCTCTGGCGAGGTTCTGAGCGAGCTAAGCCGATACTAAAATGTGACGTGAAAACAATGCCGACTGCCGATTGGTCAGAGAGAATCGTCACCATTCACTGCGCCATCATTCCACGCGGCAGACGTATTCAGAATATCCCCGCCATTTTTTTAAATAGTTTGGCCAGAGATAGTTTTTAAACTAACTACTAATATTATTATGGCCATTTGTGGTCGTTTGTTTGGTTGCCGAAGAGAGGATCCAGCGAGAGCTTGATAGGGCAGCGAGGAACGAAAGGCGTGGCTATGACGACCGGGTACTATTTGTCGCGGTACTGTCTGCAATGGAAAACGGAGCGAAAAGCGAGCCGAGTCGAGCTGGTACTGGTAATGGAAAAGCGGCATAATTCATTCAGAATCTCAGTGTTTGCTTCAGTCTACTATGGCAATTGGCAAAGTAGCTCTCCCTTCTCTAAGATGTGTATGTCTCACCATCTCCCTGCATGTCTGAAGTCCACAGCGTCAGGTTGTCCCGTAACAGTTGCATGATGAGTGTAGAGTCCTTGTAACTGTCCTCACTCAGTGTGTCCAGCTCAGCTATCGCATCATCAAACGCTGCCTTCGCCAACCTGTTGGAGGAGCGAGTGGAGAGTCAGACTGGGGTTTTCCTTTTAGTGGTTCTGAACACATGATGTATTAAATTAAAATGATCTAACTCCAAATGAAATGCTAAAATAATTATATAAAATAAAGATCTAGACTGAAATATTTAGAAATCAGGTTTGAAATCAATTATGATTTTTATTTTTTTGTCTTCAAACCAAACTCTTGGTCTTAAGCCAACAAAATCGCGTATATGTGAAGAATGTGTCAGTAGGCTGAGAGAAGTCAATTTCTGCAGCTGTTCGAACACATTCAACCACATCAAAATCTATATAGAAAGAGGGTTCACTCCAATAACTTATGAATGGGAGAAACTGAAACCCAATATGGTGGAATGTGTCCCGCCTTCTAAGTAAAAGAGCCTATCGCTTGGCTCATCCAGCCTGAAAAACAAGCTTTTTTAAGACACTATTAGAGCAAAAGAAATAACATTTATGGAACATTTCAAGTCAGATTTTGTTGCGCATTTGAAATATGTTATGCATTTTGTGAGTTTGGCAAGCAGTTTTTTGAGATTTCAGGATTCCCCCAATCAAATAGATTGGACGTTTTCTTGGATGCCTGAAATAGCTGCCCGGAGCCGTTGAAAATATGGCCGCCAGGTGAACACTTTCCTTGAAAGGGACTTTGACCACATGAGCATTTACACTACAAAAGCAATCCAGTATAATGAGTTTAAGACTGGTCGAAAGTGGACAAGCTCAAAACATTTTATATATGTAGCACATCCACTTGTGATCCAATCAACCAAATCAATCAATGTGATCACATTTAGATATAAAAACATTTGCCAATTTAAATCCGAAAATGGTTTGATTTTAAGGACTGTTAAAAAATATTTTTTATGTACATTGTTCTCCATTACAGAGAAATATCAAAATAATGAGCCCTTAAAATGTACATTAAGCGCCGGTGTAAACGGTGGCTGACGAATCAGGGAAGGACATGTCATGACTGATGACACCCAATCAGAGCCCGAGTGTGAGCCTCTGCATCATTGTTTCTAAACTCCTCCGTTTTGTCCCGTCTTCACTAAAACGCCCTCCGGAGATTCAAAACGCAAAACAGAGCTGAAGCGTTTCTAAACTCCTCCATTTTAGGTCTTCGTTTTTTCCGTTTTAGTCTGGATGGGAGGTGCAAACGTAGCAAAAGGTCTCCGTTTTTAAACGAAAACGCAGTAGTGTGGACGGGGCCTGAAAGACTAATTCAAATTTGATCGACTAAGCCTCTTCTCTTCGAATAACGTTTTGTAAAAGTTCAAACAAACATTGGACACTTTAAGAGGAAAAAAACTAACCTGCATGCGCGGTCGGGGGAGTTAAGGATCTCGTAGTAAAAGACAGAGAAGTTGAGTGCTAGGCCGAGCCGGATAGGATGTGTGGGTGGGAGCTCAATCATGGCAATGTCACTGGCAGCTTTATACGCCACCAAACTGTTCTCTGCTGCTTCCTTCCTGTCATTACCTGTCGCAAACTCTGCTAGGTACCTGTGGTAGTCACCCTTCCTGCAAACAAACACAAAAAAACAAGTGTGGGTGAAAAGATTCATCAAATTTGCATTGGCAAAGTTGACTATTTTAATTTATATATTAGATACTGAACACTCTAACCCTCGCCCACTGTTGTGAAGGTCTAAATGCATGTACTTTGATTTGTCAAACACCTACATTTTGTAGTAGAAAACTTTGGATTCTCCTGTGTTGGCTGCAGGAATGAGGTGTTTGTCCAGTACATCCAGTATGTCATTACAAATAGATTTCAGCTCATTCTCAACCTGCAAAGGGAATGATAAGAAATGGCATATTAATTATGACATCAAATATACCTAGATTTGATTAAATTAAAAAACAAACCTAAAAGCCTTTCACATTACACCATGTACTGTAATGCTACGTTCACACCGGACGCGAATACGGCGTCAGGCGCGAATGATTTCAATGTTAAATCAATGCAAAGACGCGTTACGCGCGTGAAAAATTCCTGCGGCGCGAAAGACGCGAATACGCCTCGTTCGCGCGAATGGCGCGAATTGAGCGTCTGGCGCGTTAAGCGCGAATGATTCAGTTAGTGCCATTTGTGCATTCACGCGTTTGACGCGAATCCGCGTCTGCCGCCCGAGTTGAAAAATCTGAACTTTGGCGTGAATTCGCGCCGCGTTAACCAATCAGGAGCCTAGCTGCTTGCTCAAGTGGTGAAGTGTCTGGATGCTTCAATAAATTATTTTGTTAATATAAATGCATGGTGGGATTATGCACAACAAAGCAAATGTTTTATCACTTAAAACATTATAAACAAGACATGTTCATTTTGTATTGAATTCATTCCATATCTAGATTATATGAAATAGTATTATGTTGTAAAGACAATCAACATATGTGCATAAGTTCGTGTCTGTCCATGAGAGAGAGAAAAAAAAATAAAAAAAAATAAAAATCACTGGACAGGTTACAGTAATAGCTTTTGGAAGCTGGCTCTATTTATCATCAAAACAAAAATAAATGACAGCTAGATTAGATGGATGAGGGCGAGGGTGATCCTCGCTCCGATGCGGGACAACAGGTCATCAAACTGGGCGCGGGACAGGCGGAAGTACCGCTGACAGCGGCCGTCATCCAGCGCAGCTCCTGGAGCGAGCAAATGGTGAAACTCGCCAAACGGTTCGGCTCCGAAGGATCCGGTGGACACAAATATACGGCGACGATGATCCCCACGCCGCTGTTCTAGCTCTCCAGAATAAATACAGAGCGGTAACTCTCTCGATGAATGCTCAGTCGGCATAAAAACAATGGCCGCCAACGGATTTCGATTCCGACGCGCGGCACGCGCGTAAATTTCGCTTCAAACTTTTGTTTTTACGCACGCCAGTTTCGCTCTTGACACGCGAATTAACACAAAGTGGTCAAGCGTCAAACTAGACGCTTCGCGATTCGAGTCCGGTGTGAACGTAGCATAACACTGCGCAATGCAACAATATATGGCATTGATGGTTCCATGAAGAACATTTAACCTTCAAGCAATCTTTCCACGGCACAAAAGGTTATTTGGACTTTTTTTTAAATGTTACTCACACTAGTGTTGCCAAAAGTACTGACTTCGGTACCAAGTCGGTACTGAAATTATAAAAATGTGACGATACCAGCATTTCCCCCTAGCATTTTTAGCGCTGTCAAACGGATTCTTAAACACCTCTGATTGGCCATTTTATTCACGCGCTCGGCTCAACATATATGTCTCTGATTGGCCACAATGATCAACACTTCAAAAACATGTCCTCACGAGCACTTCGACACACGGGAGCGTTTGAAAGCAGGTGTATATCAGCGGATCCATCTATCAGTGGAGATATTAGGGGCTGTCACATATTTAAAATTTTTTAGTATCGACTTGGTACCGAAGTCGTTACTTCTGACAACACTACCTCACACTAAGAAGTTTTTATCTTTTAAGAACTGATCACTGAAAGGTTCTTTGCACTGGGTAGTTGTAGGAACTCAGTTACAGGAACAAGCTACCAGGGGGGTTCCCCAAGGACAAAATTGCCCTTCACAAACTCTGAAGTGAAGTAAGTCGGCCGACAGCGACATCATTTAGTGCTACATATCATTGAGGCTGAGAAAAGAACAACATTATTATCAATTTTCATGGAGTTATTGGAGTATGAGGTTACTTGAGTTCATTGAGTGTGTTTACACAGCTTTTTAAAAATGGCAGGTGCTGGTGTTTCATATGGCATGCGTTCGGTCAACCAACGTACATTTGAGTCACTGGTGGTTCCTATTGTGCTGGTTTAGACCCTACTCAGAAGTAGCTTATTGAAGGCCTGTTCACACCGGGACGAATTTCACGCGCGTTATTCGCCGACGTTTAACGCCTCGTGACTAAACAAAGGCCACCAATGTGAGTGTTCACACCGATGCGTAAAACGGCACACGTAAAAGTGTCATTTAAAAAAAAAACGCCTCGGGTTCGTTATTTAAATTTGATGCGCCGCGTCAAAAACTATCCGACCAATGAAATTGGGAAATTGGAGCTTCTGGAGTGACAGTAAAACACAACTTGGGGGCGCGGTCTTGCCGAGCACACATATGCACTGGTGAAGAAGAAATACACGTCACCGTCTACACAGCCAGGAAGAAATAAGACATGTTCACTCGGCTCATCGTCACTTGCATGTTCACTCGACTCATCGTCAGCGAAAAACGCTTGGGTGTGAACGCAAAAAACGCGTTGAAAAACACTGACGAATAACATGCGCTGATATTCGTCCCGGTGTGAACGGGTCTTTAGTCCCCCATAGGGCGTTCATACAACTAAAATTGTTCCCAGTTCCTGTAATCCAAAAGCAGGTTCTTCCGCCAATAGTTATAGGAACTATGAACATATTACTCTGGTGCGAAAGCCAACTAAAACTATTAAAAAAAAAAAAATCAAAAAAAAAAATCAAATGTAGTCTCACCGTTTGTCTGTATTCTCGGATCATTTTGAGTTTGTCCTCTCCGCCCTTGCTCTCCTCTTTCTGCTCAATGCTGCTGATTATCCTCCAGGAAGCTCTCCGCGCACCAATCACATTCTTATACGCAACTGATAACAGGTTTCTCTCCTCTACTGTGAGCTCGATGTCCTTCCCTGCAACATTCTTCATCGTCTCCACCATTTCTGAAACAGAGAGAGAAGATTGATCCTGATGACACAAAGGGAACCCATCCACAAAGATCTGGAAATCAAAGGTCTCCTGTAACAATTGATCTATGGGTAAGCCACGCCCCCTCCACTCACTCGGACAAACGGTCAACATTCGGGAACAGGCACTATGGCAGCTGTCACAGGAGGAAGACAGAAAGATTATATCATCTCGAAGGCACCTAAAGGGCCTTAACTACGAATTGGAGGGTTATATTAATAATTTTATTGTTGAGAAGGTCGATGAAAAGCTTCAGCTCTAGGCAAAAATGTACAGGTCACAGTAAACGTGATAAACCACATATCGTTGCCATCCCCGTTTGGTGCTACAGTATGTACATGAATCGTTCAGCACAACATTGTTAACGTTTGTTATCTTGGTTATTTACAGATACGTTAATGAAGCTAAGTAAAGTGACATGAAGTACAATGCAGCCAGAAGCTAACGCTAATGTTTTCTAATGTTAGGCTAATTGTATCCAGAGCAGACACTTCGGTTGAGATGTGGCTTGGGAAGGGGTAAAAAAAAACACACACACCGTCGCCCAGCCTCTCGGGAACCTAGTGTTGGAGTTGCATGTACCCCATGCGTACCGTTTGACCATTTTAAACTTAAAATGACGAGAAAAAAAAAATCTAACGAAAACTGACTAACTGCAATGCATTTCAATGGACGTGGAATCAGAGAATTTCCGAGTGTATAGGGTTAGCTGCGCACTGTGATTGGCTCATCGCGTTTGAAGGCGTGGCTTAGCCATAGGTCAATTCATAAATGTACTTGTGAAATAAGGGGACCTGAGATCATTTGTAGCTAAATAAAAATGTATCTGTTAGTGCAGGGGTTTTGCATGGTGTCCAGGAAGATTAAACTCAAAAAAAATAATAATTGAATAAAATAAATACATAAAAAAAGAATTAACAAAAAAATGTGTTTCGAGATCGCCCAAAATGACCGGGATTCGGCTTTTGCTTTTCTACAATCGCCACTCATTATGTTTACTGTGGCGAGCAGGTCGAGGCAAGGGGCCGCGGGAGAATGGCGCGAGGCTTGTGGCATGATTACTGATGAGCGGTAAAAAAATATCCATAAATCCATCTCAGGGGGATATGAGGGTGGAAAGCATGGTAATTTGAAAATACTAAAGGTTTTCTACTAATACAAAGCTAATGCTAAATCCTGAAGTATACCTTTAATGCATTACTGCATTATTAGTTTAGATCAGGGGCTTTCAAATTTAGATGACACAGAAATATGTGTGTGGGAAGCCCATCCTAAATGTTTTAATGGTTTTCTATTGTTACCTTTTCATAATTTTTTATAAAATAATGAAAATATATGCTAGCTAAATATATTAGTATTTACTTATTTCATTTTAATCTATTTATGTATATATACAATGGTATATTTATTTTAATCTGATTTAATCCATTGATGACGTTTATTGTATACAATTTTATTCATTTATTTAAATCTAATTTAATTATTTACGTATTATAACTTCCTTCTATTGTAATCGTATTATTATAATACAGGTTTTCTCGAGACTCTTCACTGACCCAGTTTGAAACATTAACAATGTAACAATGCAGTACAAGCTCTGGTTGGGTTCAGTTAGTCTAGGCCTTTCCAAGCGGATATTTCTTCCCATTTCACCTGGACGTGCGCATGTGACTATCCAGTACTCTGTTTTTTGGGGGGTTCAACCAACAATTTTACCAGTAATAGGACACGGAAATCCTGCTCTGTTTCTTATTCTTCCTCTGCGGTGATTCAAAATGTGTGACAATACAAATCGTCAAAAAAATAAAAATAAAAATCAACTCACCATCGTATCTCTCTGCTTGCTCTGCTAGTTTAGCCTGGTATACCAAATGCTCTCGATCTGCCATGGTCACTTGGGGATCGGGAGGAGGTGGGAATGGTAAGCGACGTTGTTTGCTTGTGCAGAGGGATGAGAAGGTTATAGGAAAGTGAGCAAATATGCTATTGAGTTACTTAGTGGAGCAACGGCGGCTTAAAATCCTCATACACTGCCGGCGACCCTGCACTAAATATGGCGATAAAACTCTATCCGGGAAATTCGCAGAGTCCTGCGCACTTCCTTCGCGACGAAGCGGATACTCCTTTTTTATTATTTTTTTTGTATACATTTTTTTAAAGGATAATAACCAAAATATAAATGTAAAATAGCTTTCTTAGATGTAAAAGAAACCAGTCAAAATCAAGCCACACAAATAAATTAGAAACAAAGAAAAAAAATTACAAAAAGAGGGGTCTTTTATTTATCTTCCAGTGGGCTAAACCGTCTCCTATCATTTACATTAATGATAAATCCAGCTTTTTTCATTCAACAACAATAAAAAGTAAGGAAATGACAGGATCTTTTTTTCAACCATTTCCGACATATCTTTAAGACAATATTTGAGTGCATGAAATAAAAACGATGAACAGTCAAATTGACAAAAAAAAATAAATAAAATAAAATAAATAATAGGATAATAATAATAAAATGTGACAAAGTGGATACTATTTGCCTGGTTTGGGGATAGGCAAACCTACAAAAAAAATCATGAACGTCGGTCACAAAACATATTAGTTAAAGTTAGATCATAACTACAGTAGTTGTAATTCCAGATATCTCTTACCGATCATAGCAACAATACATTTAAAGAGATCCCAAAAGTTTTGTACTACTGTTGAACACACATTTTTTTTTTAAGAATATTGATAACATTCTTCGAAATAATTTTTGTGTTCAATAGAAGAAAGAAACTCAAACAGGTTTATAACAACTTAATGGTTAGTAAATTATGACAAAATTGGGTAAACTATCCTTTTAAGATATTTGTAATCCTTACTAGTCACAATTTACATACAAGACATTTATTCTACTAGAAATATTTTAGTTTTTATTTGTAGAAATTGTAATTAAAAAATAGCCTATATCCACAATTGACTTTTTACAAGCCTATAGAATTGTAATTGAGATATGTCTAACTAAATTATTATTGGTAAAATTGCCAATTCCAGATGTGTCTGAAAACTCTTGTTTGATCTGTCGCAATTCTAATTGCTGATATCATTATCTCTTCATTATTAAAGATATCTGGAATATATTTTCGACATCTGAAACGAAGATATTAATCAAAATGGCCTAACACTGAACATGCATTGAATTTGTTTTATGACAAAACATACAACTAACTTAATATCATTTACAGGTTTCTAGGTCAAAGCTGTTATCTACAAGAAAATCCCAAACCAGTGTCGAATCCTACACCTGTCCTGTGAATGTCAAATGGCAAGCTGAGTTATCCTTTAATACTTGGGTTTGACAATTCATAATTATATTTAAGATCCAAGTCAGTTAAATTTAAGATTTAGGTCAAAGTGATCATTAGAGATATGTGCAATTGTAATTTGACTAGAAAGATGGTTCAAGATATCTGTAGTCAAAATTCTATTTAAGTTATGTGTAAACTTCATTAGGGGCAATTGTTCGGTGTGGAAATGATGTCACAAATGTGAGAAAGTTTTGAAAAGAGTAAAAAATGGTTTACTTTCTCATACAAACTTTTTTTTTTTGAAGATGTTAAAATATTTAGTTAGAATTTTACAATTTTCATGGTCTCTGGTACAAGGGTACAACAATAAAATCTATACATAAAAGGCATTTGAAAAGTAGCAAAAATAATGAAGACAGGTAAATGGTTTCTACGTCTGTTTTTATTTGATTTCCATAAAAGAAAAAAATTGGAATCTGAATGTTTTTATTATTATTATTAATAATAATAATAATCAACCCCTGGGACATAAAGCTGCCCAAAGTTAAAACACAGTAATAATAATCTAATAACAGGATAAGATCTATATTGTGGAAAGCACTGTATAAATAAAGGTGACTTGACTATTTATTCACCCTGGTATTGTTCTAATGCAACAGTTATGCTATTGCTAACTTTATGACTCTGCTCGCATCATTCAGCTTCGTTTGAATATTAAGGGTGTTTTCAGAACTGTAAATCGTTTGCTTTGTTCCAAAACAGGGACTTCATTTGTTAAAATATTGCATTTTCTTCTTGGTTTGATTCGATTTCACAAGGCAACATTTCAAAGTGTACCAAAATGCGTTTATGCAAGTCTCATGTGAGAAAATCTGTCCTCTTATTGGTCAGTTTCCTTTGAGTCGTCAATCAAGATGGATTAATAAATTGGCTATGCGAGGTTATTATCGCTTTATCTGTAGCTGTCGAGAAATGCAAAACATGAATATAGCCGTTGCTCTAACTCATATACTGTATGAAATGATAATGCGATCTCGGGAGTGATTGTCTGGTGCGGACTCGAGCATGATGGCAGTGTTATATGAGCCTAATCTAACCAGAAAAAGGTAGAAAATGCACCAGGTTCCCAAACATGCTAAATTTAAGATCCTCTTGCCAGATTTGTTCCATAGTGTAAGTGCACCAATGTTAGAAAAATAATTGGGAAATCTGAAAGAAGAAAAAGGCAAGTGAAAACCCATTTTTTTCCAGACAGAAGTCAGTCTGATACTGAATGGTCTCTCATCTCTCCAGGGTATTTATTTACTTAACTCAATTTTACAACTTGCAATTGCAAAACAAGCAAGAAATGTATCTTGTTCGGCAATGTTGTTTGGTATAAAGATGATCCTTGCACTTTCACTGGTCATCTATGAAGAGGTACTAAGTTGCACCTATTGGCAGAAGAATAAAAATCAGTTAATTCATTAATAATCAAAAGAATATTTGGCAATTTATCAGCGTTTAATAAAACCTTAAAAGACTTAAAGGACAACTCCGGCGCTAAATGAACCTTAAGTCTAATTACACATTGTTACCTAGTCAACCGTTATCTGAGATTTGTTTTCATGATTGCCGAATGTAAATAGTTTTATCTCTAAAAACAGTTTAGCCTATAACGCTAGTATAATGCTAGTATATAGAATATACTATATAAATCGCTTGTTATTACCACTAAAAAGGCTCAAAATAGCCCCACACTAACACGACAGCATAACAAGGGTCCCTTCATTCAAACCGAAGCATTGAGAACTTTGTCAGTGTCCATACAGTTTAATAAGCAGATATTTTATACACACAGTCAACTTCACGAATACAGGAAGAAGCCATCTTGGAAAAATAGTCTCGACCAGTCGATCTACGAACGCCGATCCAAGTGCGCTGGTGAGATGTGAATAAGGTGATAAGGTGAGCGCGAACAGTAGGAATGTAGGGACCCTTGTTATGCTGTCGTGTTGGTGTGGGGCTATTTTGAGCCTTGTTAGTGGTAATAACAAGCGATTTTTATTTGTCATTACTCTATGCCCTATATACTAGCATTATACTAGCGTTATAGGCTAAACTGTTTTTAGAGATAAAACTATTTACATTCGGCAATCATGAAAACAAATCTCAGATAACGGTTGACTAGGTAGCAATGTGTAATTAGACCAAAGGTTCATTTTGCGCCGGAGTTGTCCTTTAAGGGTGTCAAGTCAAGCTATGAGGGTCAGCAAAGACAGGATATATATTTAACCTCATTACTTGTCACCTTACATTATAGATAGAAGTAATTCATCCAAAACACATTACCCAAGCAGTCCTCTACCAGACCAATGCTGCGGAGTCAAACTAAGATGTACTTCTTGTCCATTTCGAAGTACTCCGACGCGTAGGGATTTCTGCATTATGGATAGGAGAATAAACTGAATCATGTGGTACACAAACAGGAATGCTGAGTATTAAAAAGTATATGTAAATGTGTTAGTTACAACAAACCCCTTCACTATGTTGGACAACAGAAGCGATGTCACGCAGATTCCTGAAGTTTTGTGTCTTTACGGACCCAAACTCCATAATCTCATCACCAACTCGCAAACCCTACGCACAGAAGAAAAATCAATGACAATCGACTATAAACAAACAATATTTGTTTAAAATGCTCCGTTTACATCATTAGTAAGTGTCTAGGCTAAAAAAGAGACTTGAGTACAGAGTTAAGTATGTGAAATGAAATAAAACAGAGTTTCTGTTTTATAGTTAACTAAAATCATTCAGGGTGTTTCCAGATATAAACAAGTTAAATGTAAGATTTTTTAAGACCTTTAATGTCACTTTGAATGAAATTTAAGACCAAACCTGTGATGGAAATACACATTATATTACAAATGTAATATTTAATCTTTAACCTAAGTAATTGAAGTAATTTAATGATAACTACTTGTTTATTGAACTATATTGAACTTTTTTTGTAATCGTGAGAATATTCAGCAAAATAGCTCCCACCACGTTATGTTACTAAACTATATCAAATAAAAAACGTAACATTTTAAATTTTTACCTTAGTACGTTTCTCATGTGAGTGCTGATCATTTGTTTTGATTTCTCACTATAAAATATCTCACAGAGTATCAACAGCGCTACCAGAAATACATTATAAATCTTTGTTTATGTAATAAAATCAAGATCATTCTTACAATTCAATGCTTTGCTGGTTATTTGACGGACATTGGGTGCATCAGACTGGAGAAATTTTAGCGGTAATGTGACCAGAAATATTTAAGACCCCCTCGAATCTGAATTAACAACATTTTAATACTTTTTAAGGCCTTTTATTAGGAAAACTTTATTTAAGACATTTTAAGGCTTTTTAACCCTTAAAGAGTTTCTGTATCCTGGGGGATACAGACATTTAACAGGCTGTAGGGGGAGGGGCTATGGGGGGAGAGGCATTATTTGGTTGCAGTTGATGAGAAACACTGATGGGGTGATGGGTCATGTAATCAGGTCATGTGACTTTTTGCTGTAACATTACAAATATTTGTATCAAAATCCAAAATGGCAGCATATATGGACAAAGACACTCGCCATGAGCTTAGTGTTTTTATATTTTTCACGATTATGCTATTTTAGAGTGATTTTGTTTTAGAAAGTAGTTTTTTTAAGGATAGTTTTACATGTTCTTGTTGTTATTTTCAAAATAATCTTCTCACAACTTTGATTATTAGGCATTGAATGTTTGTATCCCGGGGGATACATTGCCCATATAAGGGTATTTTCCAGGGCTGATCACTCACAGATATTCTCATGTTTTGAGGCCTGTTCTCT